CATGCATTGATAACAGAGAGTGCTGTAATACATTATTTAACTGATTACAAATATTCATATTGATTATTAAATTTTGTTTTTTGATTTTAAAAATTTATTTTTTAATAATAATTTTATCAAAATATTAAAAATTGAGCATAATACTTATATGCATGGATCATGTGCAAAATTATAAAAAGCAATTATTACATCATAATATATATAAGTAACAGCAACAGCAATAATTGGTATAAAGAGAAGGTAGAGAGAAAGAGAAAAAAAGTACACACATTTAAATACAATATAATGTACATACAAGTACATGTACACATGTCACGTACAAAAAATGTAGAATGTGATGCATTAAACTAATGTTAGAAACCATTGAAGAAATGATCCCTTGTCAAGCAAAGGTAAAAAATAATATAGTAAGAAAATAAAATAACCGTTTTTAGAAACCATGTAGATCTATTACAAAAACGAATACTGTAATATTAAAGTTATGATAATGATACTTTATTTGTTGTAATGCTTGCATGGAGTGAGAAATAAGGAGATTAAGGTAGAGCAGATGTTGACCAGAGAGCAAGAAAGGAAGATGTGTGCCTTATCAAGTATAGAAGAATGAAAGTGAAGTCATTTGAAACACAATTGTCATTCTTTATTATGCCTCATCCTCTCCTAATTTGGTTCTTTTTGTGCTATGATGTTCCTCAATACCTGCACCTGTTGTTGTTCGCTTTGAAACCCTTCTTCTTTCCTCCTCAACCATATCAGGAATCATATCATGATTCACCTTTTCAAGATACCTAACTATTGATGAATCAGGATTAGTGGCCCGAGCTACTTCAATATCATTTAGACGAGGCTTTAAATCATATCTTTCAACTAGAAATTGAACAAGTTCCAAATTAGAATTCTTGCTAGCAAAATAAAGCATCGTATTGAAGTCATTGGTTTCAGCTAGTGCATTACAATTGAGTTCAGTTAGAAAATATTGTACTAACTCCATACTACCAGCTTCACATGCTCCATGAACTGAAGTGTATCCATTATTATCAGGATCATCAGGAGTACAGGGGAAGGTCTCTATGAGATAACGTACCATACGAATATTATCAGAACGAGAAGCATAATGAAGAGGAGTACGACCAGACTTGTCTTTAGGCACTGGATTAGAGACAATGTTTGGTTCCAAATACTGATATATATCAATTTTTGTTCTTGCTGCAATATCCATTATCATTCTCATTAAAAAAGATTCAACTTTTTTCATTTCTGCTAGTAAGTGCAAGCAAGTGATACCATCATCATCTTCCAATAAAGGATCTTGTTTATATTTCTCGATTAACTCTTTTACTATCTCAATATCTGCTCCCTTACATGCTGCATGAAGTAAACCACGGCTTCTATTATCCATTACATTAACACCTTGAGGATAAATACTGGATAAATAACGAAACATATCAATGCTGCCATCACTGCAAGCTGTATGAATTACAGTGGAACCTTCATTATCAGTAGCTGTAAGGAGATCATGATGAGTAGAACTACCAGTGACTGAGAACAGTAAAGCTTCAGAGGTATCCTTATGACCAGAGGCAGCTGCTAAATGTAATGGCGTCTGTCCTTTCTTGTTAGTAGTAAATAGATCACTGTGAGACAGACTGGCTTTTAGCAATAGTGATACCATATTCTGTCGTCCATGTTGACAGGCTAAATGTAAGGGTGTATTATCATCTTTATCTTGTACATTAATAAGTACAGCATTATGTGGATTATTGTATATGTCATGAGGACTGTCTAATAAACACTTTATCTCACGTAACCAGACAATACTCATTGAGGGTATGCTCTTACTCAGTAAATACTCTAATACATCAAGTTGGTTCACTGCTACAGCTAAATGGAGTGGTGTACAGTCTTGATGACTGGTTGCATTAGGATTACAATAATTATTGTCAATGAGATACTTTAATACATTCAAGTGACCCCTCGCTACAGATATGTGAACTGCTCCAGACCCTTCATCATCAGTAGCTGATAGATTACACTTCTTACTAATAAGATATTTAATAACTTCTAACTGATTGAAGTATACAGCAGCAAGGAATGGAGTATGACCATGTTTACTGTGAGGTAGTTCAAGTGATGATGGTATGTGTTCTATAATGTACTGGATCAAGTTCAATCTTCCATTAATACATGCTGAGTGAATAGGAGCCATTCCATTATCATTCACAGCACACAGATCTAACTGATGATTCTCTACCAGATTTTTGAGTATAGAAAGAGAGTCACTGTACTCACAGGTAATGTGAAGAACTGTAGATCCATTAGAAGTCTTAGCTGCTACATTACACTGAGGAAGACTAGTGAGATAAAGTACAACAGGAACATGGCCTCCTTCACATGCTTTATGAAGAATTGTACTATCAGTATCAGTAGTAGTGGCATTAACATCACACTGATATTTGTTGATCAGTTCCTGTAGACAATGTAGCTTACCTCCATAAGCAGCTACATGAGCTAGTGTGTACTTGTTATTGTTAGTGTGATTAGTAATATCCACACTATACTCCTGATTGTACCATTCCAGTATATGAGTATGACCAGTCTGTGCTGCTGCATGTAATACTGAGAAACCAGTGTTATTAATATTGATAGGCTCAAGCTTGTATCGTTGTATCAGTAATTGTACTAGATCAAGATTACCTGAAAAACTGGTAAACAGGATACAATTACTACCATCAGTATCAGTAGCAGTGACATCACATTTCATGTCATCTACTAGGAAAGTCACTAATTGAATATTACCACTCTCACAGGCTAAATGTAATGCTAGTCTACCCTCCTTGTTAGTAGAGTGTAGTAAACTAATGTATTGAGGATACTGACTAGTGATATGCTTGATAGAATGAGTATGACCATCAAGGGATAAAAAATGAAATATATTCCAATTTTTGATATCTGTTAGGTTTAGTCTACACTTGTAATTCTTCAAGTATAATTCCAGTAGTAAAATATCACCAGATTGAGCAGCATAATGAATTGGTAGTTTACCATTACTGTCAGCTTGATGAGGATCTAATTGATAGGTAGTTATTAATTCTTTAACAAGAGATAAGTTAAGAGACAGTGAGGCATAATGTAAAGCAGTGAGGCCATCCTTATCAACTGCAGTAGGAGACAAACCTTGTTCAGTAATAAGATACTGAACTAACTCATAGTTACCACTCCATGCAGCATGATGTACTAACGTGCGTCCTTCATTATCTGTTCTATTAATATCACAATGCTGTACCTCAATGAGATAATGAGTGATATCAATATGACCATTACGACAAGAATGATGCAGACATGTCATACCATCATTATCAGTGATATTAGGATTACTGTTATGATTATTAATAAGATATTTAACAGAGTTAATACTACCTGACAAGCAGGAGTAGACTAATGGTGTACGACCAGTATAATCAGTATCATTAGCATTGAGATTATAATGAGATATGATATAACTTAATACACTAGTAAAATCTGACCAGGCAGCACAATGTACTGGAGACATACCATCATTAGTTAATGTACAATTGACACTATATTCTTCTAATGCTTTCACTAGTAATGTACTGCCACTGCGTGATGCACAATGAAGTAATGACTCACCATTAGTCATGGTAGCATTGATGTCAAAGTGGCAATTAATAGCTTTCTTGAGAAGTGAATTAAGCATTTTTATTCTTTTATTGCGTGTAATGAAATTGATGTTATTTTTAATTTTATTACCACTAATAATCTCAATATTTGATGTATCACATTGTGCAATTAGCTTATTATACACAGTAGTGGCTTTAATACCAATGGATGCATCACTTGCAAAGTGTAAGCATGATTCATTATTATTATCATTAACTAATAATGCTTCAATACCTTGAATACTAACAATATACTCAACAACTGATGATGAAGCATACCATGAAGCAATATGAAGTGGAGTCCTACCATATCGATCCTTTACATCAATGGATAATTGATATCGATTTAAAAGATATTTAAAAAGCTCAACATTGTTACTCATAGAAGAATAATGCAGAATGTTAAATCCATAAAAATCAGATGAATTTGGTTTGAAGAGCTGTACCACTTCCAGCTTATGAATTAATGCTACCTGCCCACTTTTACAAGCTAACAATGATAAAGAAGCATTATGAGAATTAATTTGAGAAATATTACAATTTCTCTTAATAAAAAATTCCACTAGGTCAGAATGGCCCCCCATTGCTGAATACAGTAATGGAGTGTTATTGCTATTGTCTGGTTGATCAGGAGGAACGTGACACGTGTCTACTAGATATTGTACTATAGATAAGTGGCCTTTATAAGATGCCATATGTATACTAGATACACTATTATCATCACCTTCATTAGGATCAATACCATATTGATGGATGAGTAGTTGAAGGATCTCAATGTGTCCACCATATGCTGCAGAGTGTAATGGAGTCCAATCATGAAGACCACGATGATATGTGCAGTAACCAAACTTGTTAAGAAGCCATTGTACTTCATCTTTTAATCCTCTCCAAGCTGCTTCATGTAATGGTGTACTGGTATTCTCATACCATAATCGATCACATATATCTAAACAATATACATGAATGAATTGATGATCAAAATAATGATATCACAATAGATAGTAGAAAGCAAAATTACATAATATACATATCCACTTACATACCAATATCTAAAGATGATTGAATTGACTGCTGCAACTCTTGTGATGCTGAGAACTATTTAAAAAGATAAAATTATTTAATATTAAAAGGTAATTACAAACCTTTTTAAGATCATATTTATAATCACCACATGTTAGTTTAGTGATACCAATACTAGCTAACTGTTGCTGTATCTCAGTAGATAGAGGGAACAATGCAGAGTATAGGTAATCAGGAATATTATGTAGCAGCTGTAGAGACCCAATACGAACAAAACTGAAGTATAAATTAACATGAGGAATATTTAGTTCTTTTGGTATTGCTCGACGAAAGAAGAAGAGGTCAGCTGGTGTGTAGTCATCACGATCAACTTTAGCAATCATTACTCGTGTACCAGGAGGAACATCTGTTATACCAAATTCAAAAGCATCAGCATCAGTTAATAAGCCACCACTGTTAAGAAAATAATCCTTCAATTTCTCCTTGTAACCTGACCATGTTCCTTTCAATGATTGATAATCAGCTAGGAATACATCAACAAGTTTGACTATTAGTTCATAGTTGAACCATGATATGTACTTTCACTGTAAAACTTTAAAAAGGTCTTTTGTTGTTTTTATATTATTAAACTCTTCTGTAATTTCTTCACCTTGATTATTCTCATTTGGACCAAGTAAAGCAGGGACATGTGTCTCAAGATAATCAAGAATATCTGGAAGGAGTTCAGGTTTAAAAGCATCTCTTGTTTTTTTAAGAATATCTGAAAACTCTAGTTGAAGCTCATATATCTCATTCAGAAGATGACCATCTCTTACAGGAAAAGCATAAACTGAAGCATCTAAATAATACAAACAAGGTGTCAACATAATATATATGAATCATGAATGTCACATTAGAGGTCACCTCCAAAATTAACATTCATTGTCAATGCATGTGGTCTTATTGTTACATGTATGGAAATGGAATGTGAGTGACTGCACCAGTGTATGAATACAATGGTTAATTGATTAAAATTAATGCTTTATTGCTACTGTTTTATAATACCAGGTACTATAACTATAAATTTTCTGTATAAAGTCTACCTGTTGAGCTTTCTCCCCCAATAGATGCTGATTGAGGATGTTCACGGGCTATGTCTTCAGCTAATGCAGTGTCACCTCCTCCTCCTTTAACAGCTACACACACTCTCCTCCAACATGGAGGACCATAAAACTCATAATTGTAATCCTTCCTTAACCAGTGCTCCAAAACTTTATGCAGACATGACTCACTACTACTACCACAATCAGCTTGAATGATGTCAATAGTATCTGGTCTTATGTATAGTGAGTTAGCAAACTGCTTCCAGCGTGCAGCAATGGGTTTAACTTTATCATACAGGACACTAAGATCATTAATACCTAAAAAAAACAAATAATAGGACTTTCACAATCATAACCCCTATTAACTCACCAGAGTACTTTACTGCAAACATTTTCAAAGATCTGCGCCATAGTTTGTGCATAAAATTTTTGCGTCT